ATTATTCTGGGAAAGTTAGAGAACCACTGATGTAGAATACAAACCTTTGAATATGAGAAATGAAGCAGGTAATGAGTTAGAACAGATGCTCTAAGTATTTGATGTAGTTGGTTCATGTTGAAACTTGACCACATGCTAAGTAATTTAGGTGTATGGAGTGTCATTGCACTACTGGAACTTCTCCCTCCTCTCTCCTTTTAATAGGAGCATACAAATAAGATTTTTAGAGATAATTGTCTTACATATTTTTAACCTGAGCATTTTCAGAACTTGGTAATTGATGTGGTGTACTACTAACAAGTGTGTATAATGGGAAAAATATTAGTCTCAGCTTCCCTAGAAACATTAGAATATCAGTCACTGGCTCACATTTCTTCATGCAATGATCTTCTGGATCAGAGGTGTGATAATGATAACCAACTCCTGTAGGGCTTAATATGTGACAGGCACTGTTCTAGTGCTTTAGTTTCTAGTCTCCACAACAGTCTTTTGAGATAGTTGGTATTATGATTCCCATTTTACAGATGGGAAATTGAGGCACAGAGAGGTTTAGTAATTTGCTTGTGGTCCCAGTGCTGGTAAGTGGAGGAGCTGGGATTTTTACCAGGCACTCTGGCTCTGGAGTCTATGCTGTTGACTTCTGTGCTATACATGCCTCTTTTAGATCGAGTCTTTTATTGCCATGTTCCTCCTGTTTCCACTTCACTTATTTACCTTGCCTACCCATAGATACCTGAATTAAAACACCTGCCCCCAATTTTTTGCACCTTGGTTCCAACCCTTTTCCTTGTTACCCATGCATCATCTTCCAGCAAGGCCCAATGCAGACTGGACAGCTTACTGGATTTCATCCCCAGACAAATTCCTTCTTTTCCTGAGCTTGTGCAACTCTTTATCTAGGCCTCTCTTATGACTTACATTGCTTAGCAAACATCAGCTGTTCATTTATAAACCTTGATTCCCCTCTATTACTCTAAGTTCCAGAAGATCGTCTCTTTCTCCTCCTTAAAGTTCTCTGCCTATAGCATATGTTCTATAATTTATATGTTGAATTAATCAACAGAGAACAACCCCATTCACAAACATAACAGCTAATTCATATATTGATAAGCAGAATACAGTTTCTGCTTGGCTTCCTTTGATTCTTGCCTGTCTTTTGATCTTCAGCCATCAGACCTGGGTAGGAAGCCAGTGCCCCATCAGATTTCACTGTGTCTGATTCCCCTTCACCTCCTTCCACCTCCTTAGACAAGAGTCTTCCCCCTGATCCTGGAAGAGTTATAGAGACAAGTTTTAAGACCTCTAATACTGCTCTATCAGTACTTAAACTAGCCAAGACTGGGTAATTTGTAACCTGTAGGGCCCTTGACACTTGGCCTGCTTCTGTGTGTTCCTGGAGTTTTCCAGCTATTTCTAAAGAAGTTTCAGGAAACTTAATTCCAGAATGTTACTTGAGTGAATCTGAATCTCATTTCATAAACTCAAGTGTACAAGAAATATAACTTGTTCTGTATTTTAAACCTTTATTCTTTATGTAGAAACTTAATCCCAGTGAGTTTAGGGATTCTTCTGTCACTGTTTGCTTTTAGGTTTTGGAAGATCTTAATGCTGAGGCATCATGGGCAGGGGAGGCCATCTGGGTATCATTGTTCCACTTGGTCCTTGGTGTCTGGTCCCCACAGCTTGCTCTGGGATATTCTTTGTTCTTATCTGTAAGAGCCCTTTGAGTCCATTGGAGCTTACTTCTTTCTCTGTCAGACCTTTGAGTACATATAACGGGCCATGGTGAACAGAGAAGTAGTCTCAGATCCCTCTGCAAGACACGCATGCAGACCTTGCTACTTTTATGACTTTATCGAGCACGTAGAATCATTCTGCTTCTCCTTTACCAGCTACAGCCTGGGGAACTCTCTAATGTCATTTGAGGCACCATCTTCCTAGACATTCCTTGCACCCACTCTTCCCTAGGGTCTTGCTTCTCTCCAAGGCTCTGTCTGGGCATGGGGCACAGGTCAACTGCTTCAGATTAACAGGCCTATCTGTGAGTTGCTGCATCCTAGGGTTCATTTTTTCATTGGCTTCCAGATATCTATCCAGACATTCCTCATTTCATCTCTAACACTCTCTCTTCCCCTCCCGCATCACCTAGCCTAGGGAATCACTTTCTCAGTCATCATGTAATCTTCTAAGTCAATGTCTGGTTTTGTTTTTTTGTTTTAATTCTCCAAAGGATATAGGCTTTTGAAAATCAAAAGCATTAAGACATTTCTGTTTCTTTACTGTTTGTTCTCACACTGCCTCACAAAAGTAACTATAGAAAGGCTTGGTTACTGATTTTATTTGCTGAACAATAGGGATGGGAGGGGAGTAGTGAGAAGAGCTAAAGGAAATAGTAGATACTGGAGAAAAAATGTTGTATAATATTTACAATTTTATCATGCCACGTGACATCACATAGACATGTGAATGTCATCCCATTCTGGATAGGGCTCAGAGCAGCTTCCTGGACCCACACTGACTGAAATCAACTTCTAGGGCAATTCTGTATATCGTACAGCCCCCTCACAGTTTTAGGAATCCAGCTTCTGCACTGGTTACTTAACCTCTAAACTTCTCTGTCTCCTCTCTACAAAGAAGATAATAGTAGCTACCTCACAGAATTGTAGCCAGAATTCAACAACCTACCCTAGCATTCACTGTAGGCACTCAAGCAGTGATAGATGTTATTAACAACAGTAACAATAAAAGTGGTTAATGCCAGGTTATTCAGATCTTCCCATTTTCAAATTTTCAAACAGTCTCAACATATACTGTAGGATAACTATTTTTTATTCTCTAATATATCGATACAATTTCAAACATTAGCACAGTTTTCCTTTTAGAAGTTTTCTGGGTTCTTTCCCCGCCCATTCATCTACCTTTCTTACTCCTGTCTTTTTTTCTGAGTAAACAAACTGTTCTTTTTCTAATTATCACTTCTGCCCTCACACTACCCTGTCACTATTATAAACAATGCAGATGGTTGTTCAGAAATTCTGTTAATGCAAGTGAAAAAAACTTACAAGCAGAGGTGTTTCTGGAAAGGTACGGGCAAATTGAATTGAACCTTCATGTATTCAGTGCACACACTACATAAAGGAAAACTGAGGTGGATTCCCTTGTGAAATGAATAGGCATCTGTCTTGTAAAGATGGTTCACTTGTTTTACAGCTTTCCTATAGTTGAAGAAACTCATCTATAATTTGTCTTAAATATTGAATAAAGTCTTCATCTAACTAAAAAAAATATGGTCCAGAAATTAACAGACCCATCTGTCATTTCTTTGTTTATATCTCATGACTTCATGTCTATCAAGCCACTTGTCCTGTGAGAAGTAGAATGGATCCTGCATGTTTTCTGTTAATTGATAACGGTGTTGACATGGGTTTATTATGTCCACTCCAGAAACCTTGGGAAATACAGTGATTCTCAAGCTATGCCCTAGCAGATTTCAGTAGTCCCCAAGGTAGACTGACATTTCACCACAAAACTCAAATGATGACTGCCGTTTTCTAATTTGCCAAAGAATTTAAATTGATGGTTAGAAACTTCTGTGTGTGTGCACACATTTACATTTATTCATTTATTTAATACCAAGGACATTAACAGTTTTAACTTTTTCTGTAAATTGGGCAATTGATGTCAGGGCACATATAGAAGTGAATTATTTTATTAATATTCATTTACTCTGCTGCTGCTTATACTTGCCAGCAAATGAATATTGATGGGATTCCTGAAATAGCTGTTCATTGTTAGATTAATTGCCTCTAGATCTTGTTTTTCATGAACACCTGCTAATGGTTTTATAATGTAGTGCTTTTCTTTTCATGGCAGGGCAGACACACATACACACACACTAATAATGTTTATATGGGACACTGGGGTAAATGGCTCAGGAGCTTGACTGCCCAGAGGCTGAGGGGATGAGTATTGAGGGTACACCTGTACCCTCTTCAAGGCACACCAATGTGCCCTGCCTGCAGGCTGGGAAGCTGTGTTATGGTCCATTGTGGACAACATATAGTCCTGATTTCTGCTAATGACATTGTTTCCTTGCTCTTATGATGGCATTAATGGTTCCACTAATCACCAGTGTTTTGTTTCTTCTTCTACAAAAGAATACTGTTACTCTCCAGCTGTTCCCCTTCCTGAGGAACTTGTGGAAGAAGTGGAAAGAGGGGAACAAACTCCAAAGGGTATTTACTGGGTGTATGAATTATATCTCTTCTCTCTATGTTCCTTCTGCAAGCAAGTAACTTCCTGTAAACAAAATGCTTGATGCCCTCAGGGTTCACAGAGGAAGAGACCTCACGCTATAGTTCCTTGTACATATCTGAAAAGCTCCTGGTTATATCTCAGCTGATCTTCTCACTGTCAGGGCCTCAGTTGGCATTGTTTCTTCTCTCACCCACACTCATTCTCTCTCCTACTCTCAGAACAACCAGACACACTTAAATATACAAGCTTAAAAGCATTTTTAAAATACTTACAGTAAATGTAAAACTTTTCTGTATTTATTTGCATTTAAATACAGTGTTTTTCCTCCACTCCTAATATGTTATTGGAACTGTGATGTGTTTAGGGGGAAAAAAAGAAAAAGACTGAATCCTGGAATTCACAAATCCTAGGTTTGAGTCCCAGAAATCCCATGTATCCAGCTAAATGGGAAAGTTCAGTTCATTTCTAAGTCTTCTCAATAAAATGCCTGATAATACCTATCCCATTTCCTCTCAGAGCTGATCTGAAAATCAAAGGAGATCCCATGTATGAAAATATTTTGTCAGCTCTAAAAGCAAAAGGTAAGTACAATTTGTTGTATTTAAAGTGTCCAGTGAGTCTTCCAGTGCAGTGGCAGTTGCTCATAAGAATTCACATACTGAGAGTTGGAGAGAGTACAGCTGTGGTGGCGATGACAAAGTTAACATGGGCTCTTCCTCTTCATCCCCTCCGTCCTCCTGCAGAGTAACCTGATACACTACCTGGGACTGAGCCATCATCTGCTTGCACTGAATTTTGTGATCATTTCTTTCGGCAAAAAAAGTGCATGGACGTCTGCCCAAGTGAAGGTGACTGACACTGACTTTGATGGTGTGGAAGTCAGAGTGTTTGAAGGCTCTCCAAAGCCAGAAGAGCCGCTGAGACGCAGCGTTGTTTATATCCACGGAGGAGGCTGGGCCTTGGCAAGTGCAAGTATGTCCTGGTCACCTTCAGATTGTTTAGTGTTGTGGTTGGCCCTGGAGGGGATGTGTGCTTGAGTGTGGCTTGCTTAGTGGGAAAGGAGAAGGGGACCATTTATCTTGGTTCTCCTCAACAGTCCCAGTTACCCCTGTTGTCCCAGCCAAATTATTATTATTATTATTTTTTATAAAAGTCTCTTTTCCAGCAAATTAATAGTGCCTTCCTTTCACTCTCAAAAGGGCCCCCTGGTTTGGATGATAAATGATATGGTTACTCAATGTAAAAGGTTTTTATTTGTTGGTTTGTTTGTTAATTCAGGCAGACTGTCTTGGAAATATTTCCTGTGATCTAAATCATAGACTGACTTAAGTGAAGTGCTCATAAATAGCTTTTCACACCAAAACAAGGTGAAGTTTCATGGACAGAATAAGAGAGAATTATCTGTATCTCTTTGCCAACTTGTGTTTTAAAGACATATTTCTAGAAATAGAACAGGTATTTCTTAACACACATGTTAACTTATCAACATTTTATCTGCTTATGAAACCAAAGATTAAAATATAAAAGGTGTGCAACCATTAAAAGGAAATAATCTTGCAAAGCTCAAAAATATTTTCTTTAGAATTGGATAACTTTCATGAGAACACATTTAAAATGGCAGGTGGCCCAGTGGATCAGCCCAGGGGAAAGCCTACCAAGGAGGAGGTCAGGGCGTTGCAAAGTTAAAGTATAACTTTGGGGGGCTGGCTTGTTAGCTTATTTGGTTAGGGCGTGGCGCTTATAACACCAAGGTCAAGGATCCCCATACTGGCCAGCTCTCAAAAATATTTATAAACACACACACATACACATATACACAAACACACACATATACATATATATAACTTTTTCTAGTAACCCCATTTTTTTTTTCCTTTGGGGGCTGACAAGCACAGAGATCTGAACCCTTGACCTTGGTTTTATCAGCACCCCACTCTACCAACTGAGCTAACTGGCAAGCCCTAAGCCCTTTAGTAATCCTTTTTTTCCCCCTTCTTTTGGCAGCTTGGACAATATAGAGATCCAACCCTTGACCTTGATGTTACCCACACCATGCTATCCCAAATGAGCTAACTGGCCATCCCCAATCCCATTTTATTTAACTCCATATTCATTTTTTATTTTTTTGTGTGTGCAAATTTGAAATAAACCTTTATAAACCTTAAGCAGTATTCAGAGTTGGGTTGGCCCTCACGGATGTGTAACAATACTCTACAACAATAAAGTCTCACAGCTGGGAGTGCCCAACAGGGTAGGGAAAAGGCTTCTCGCCTGAGTTCCCGGCAGTCCTCAAGCATTGCCTCCTTCATTTATTCTTTCATTCAGTGATTTGTTCATGCTTTCAACAGATGTTCACTGAGTATGTAGGTTTGCCTAAGACTGAGGAGTATCCTGGGCTGCAGGACTTTCAGTGCAAAAACTCAAACAGTTGTGGGTAAGCCTGGGCCATTGATCACCTTAATGTGTGCTAGGGAATAGGGATACAAAAATGAATAAGACAGAATCTGCCTAAAAGATTGTGTCTGTAACACTGTCATGCCAGGTAAGACATTGCACTGGAGGACAGGAAGTGTAGCTGCCAGGAATGGTATGAATTACGAGTCATCCTGGCCTTTTCTACATAATTTTGACTGATCACTCCTGCCAGAAGAAGAGCTTGGGCTGGTGGAGGTATCTAGGTGGTTATGTTATTCTTAAAATTCTGGTTCTAGGACTGCTTTGGAAATATTTGGCTCTCTGTTGGCACAATATAGATATTAATATATTGAAAGAACAACTAAGGGATTAAATTCTTATATATTAAAATTGCTCCTGTCATGTAAGACTTCCTAGAATTCCAGTTTCTCGTGTGTTGATTTAAAGAGAATACCATATTCTTCAAATTGGTTACTTTCCTGAATTGCAGCAAATGGTGGTATTAAAACAGCAAAATTTTATGATTCTAAGGAGGAAACTGCTTATTTGCTGTGATTTTCTGGAAAGGCATACATTTGAAGAGCTACAAAATCAGAATTAATTTGGTGCATTTCATATAGTCTATTATGAAATAAATGTTTAGTTAAAATCATATTCAAAACTAATCTGATATAGATTTTCTGTTATTTATAGTAATTAAATTTTACCAGAAACCAGATTTAATTTTTGCATTTGTATATGTAACTATTAATAAGACATTTATTCACATTCACTTTATTATTTTTTAATTATTATTATTAACTTAACTCCAAGTCTATCATGGTATTTTATTTTATTTTATTTTTTGGTGGCAAGCCAATACAGGGATCTGAACTCTCCGAGTCTAAAAACATTACACTCAGCAGAATTTAAGAATGGACAGTACTAAATGACTTGTTTTGTAGTGATTGCTCCTTTGTCTCTTTTAGGACTCAGGTATTACGATGAGCTGTGTGCAGCAGTGGCTGAGGAACTGCATGCTGTCGTTGTCTCCATTGAGTAAGTAATAGAACTGTTTTTATTAAGAAAAGATTCTAGGTAACAGTCTAGTTACTTTATTTTACAAGTGATAAAGTATAAATAAAAGGCCAGAGTGGTGAAGTGATTTGCCCAATCTCACATTCAGCATAATCAGAAAAATATATGATTTCTGTATAACTTAAAATTCCTTAAACTAACTTTGTAACACCTCAAAGTATGTTTTTATTTTAGTTTTGGGAACTTCTGGGAAAAGAATTAACTAAAAACTAGAGAAATATATACAATTAGTTAAGTGTAGCATATTAATCTGATACTGACTTTTTCAATCTAAAAAGCAATCAGGATTTTAAGAGAATCTCTTCTACAGCTAAGAGTTGCAAAAGTTATTCTCTTAGAGACAGGTTCCATAACTTGGACCTTGGGAATAGAAATAAGTGTTCAACAAATCTTAATGCTATACTTATATAGCATTATATAGTTTTGAGTTGTCTCTACCAGGTCTATATAAGGCCACTTTTCTTGGCAACTAAGAAGAATATGAATAATAATTATAGCAATTTGGTAACAGTAATAATACAAAAATCATGGTGTTTATTCCATGCTAGGCACCGTGCAGGTGCTTTTGCACACATTGTCTCTCCACCTTTAGGTCTTTGTTCAGATATTATCCTCTCAGCCAGGCCTTGACAACCCGATATGAAATTGCAACCTACCTTCCTCTGCTTTATTTCTCTCCAAAGCTATCATCAATGCCTGACAGACCATATATTTAACTCATCATGTGTTTATTATACTAGGTGGAAATAGACAACATGAACTTTATGAAGGCAGAAATTTTAGGGATTTGTGTCTGTTGTATTCATTGCTGAATCATTAGTACCTAGAAACGTCCCTGCCATGTAGTGGGCATTCAGTAAATACTTATGGAATGAATGAAGAGTCTTACTTAATTCTCATATACAGCATCCAAGATAAATATTTTGTTACCTTGTTTTCATATGAGGAAATTGAGGCCCAAGAAATTAAGTAATTTTTACGAGGTCACATAGCTAGCTAGTCACATAGAGTGGGGAATTGAACCCAGGCCGAATAGCTCCTGAGGTCCCTATGCCTTTCTGAACTAGTATATCAAGCCCATATTGAAGGGCTCTGACATCAGCCAGTCTCTATGCCCCAACTAGATCTAGTTCTCTTCTTCCCTCTGCCTCTCTCTGCCAGCTGCTCTCTGATTCATGGCTCACCTCCTCCTTGCCCCCTACTCCAGATGTGAAATCTAAGTGTCTTGGAAGGGTTGTTCTTTTGAGTCATTTAGTCTGACCCTGTGGACAAAAGCCCTAGAGTCACAATGAGAGGTCCTGTGGTTGCCTCCTCAGCAGATTTGGCTCCACACAGCTCTGGACAGCTCCAAATCCCTTCTGGACTCTCAGCTGGGCCTCCCAGATCATGCAAGGACCCTCACTGCAGTTTAGTAGTACAGGAACCTTCAAGTAAATGATTGTAGCATCTGGACTGGGCTGCCAGCCAGAGATAAGCAGGGGCTGTTTAAGCAGCCAAGTCCCATTATGGAGCAAGACTCTATGGCTTAGTGTTGAGGAACAAGCTTCAGGGACCCTTCAGTGGTTTCATGTGCAGCTCCAGCTCCTTGCAGGCCTAAGAAAAGGAGGGAAGCTGGGCTTGCTTCACTTTGCACCATGAGGATTCTCCATTCACCACATAGGACTTACCCTCCAGGGTGTCAATATCAGCAATTGACAACACACCCTAAGCTCTTCTTTCATGCCCTTCTCCATCTATCAGTATCTATCTCAAGTAAAATAGGCGTTCTTTTGAGTCTGGGTTTATCAAGATGTCTTCAAGATAGACTTTTTAAAAAAGAACTAAAACGGAAGGAACTGCTTTCATCATAACTTTCCATTGTGCCTAATCTGTACAATGTAGCATCCAGAAGTTTATCAACTGGGGGGCCAATATAGCTCAGTAGTCAAGTCCCATTACTTGTGACTGCGTGACCTCAGGCAAAACACATAAACTCATGAGAAAATGGGGTTAGGAATCCTCCCTGTGTGTTTAGAACGTTTGCTACTGGGAACAGAAATCATGTCTTTTCTCTGGATCCCCAGCACCTAGTACAAGGCTTAGAACATAAATGCTAAGTAAACGTTGACTTGGGATAATGACTTTAGAGAGAATCAGTTTAGAGAATTGATAAAAAAGGGCTTCAGATGCTCTAAAGCACTAGACAAGTCCAGAGGATTAGTGCTCTAGCCCATGATATAAAATGTCAACTTTCGTTTAAGGTGGTTAGGATCCAGGCCAGCCCACAGAGAACCTTATAACCACTGCTCTAGTTGAGGTATAGCCAACATCATATGATTGTGATGTTTTTCTTGGAAAGTATGTTCAGTGGTTTAACTTGGGAACATATTTCTTTTCACTGGCTCACCACTTTTCCTTTTTCTTTTATTCTACAAATATCTATTGAATTCCTGTTCTGTGCCAGTTACTATGTGAAATTCTAGTGACATTGTTACTGGGAACAAGGTCTGGCTGCCTGCCCCCTTTCAGAAATAAACAACTCAAAAGTCAAACGTTGGTGAAAATAGAAGTCAGCTTTCATTCAGGAATACCAGTGACCTGAGGAGAGATGTTGGGCTAAACCCTCCCTCCAGTAAACCTAAAGAAGAATGGACAGGCTAAAGCCATCTCAGTCTCAGACGTATTGAGGGGTTTTTAAAGAAGGGGCCAAGGGAATGGAACATGGGAAATGAAAAGGAGGGAGGGGGATGTGAGCTGTGAGGGCTTCATGCAAGGTCTGAGGTGCAAAGTCTCACCAAGAATCCATCTGGTATCTGCTCCCGTCCTTGCTGTTATCTCAGGGTCTACAAGTCTGTACGTGCAAGGGTACATGCAAGTCTGCAGCTTCAAGCTGGCTGGAAAATAACTTTACATTTATGTAAATAATATTATTTTGCCCCATTACCAAGGTTCAAAATATCAAATAACCATGGGAAAAGAGGGAACTCAGAGAAATGCATGCCAAGGAATAAACTGTATCCTTTTAAAATCTTTTAGAGGGCCGACCCTGTGGCTCACTCGGGAGAGTGTGACGCTGGGAGTGCAGCGGTGTTGGGAGCTCAGAGGCCATGGGTTCAGATCCTATATAGGACTGGCCGGTGTGCTCACTGGCTGAGCACGGTGCGGACGACACCAAGCCAAGGGTTATAATCCCCTTACCAGTCACAAAAAAAAAAAAAAAAAATCTTTTAGATCCCATACAGTTTTAGGTTCCAACATGGCTTCAGTCTTGCTCACTCCAACAACATGACAGTGTAAGACAGACAGTTCCTGCCATCATAGACTTTACAATCTAGATGAGACAATACACCTTGAACAAGTAATGTTGTGTAATATATGAAGAAGGGTAAGTAGAAACCGAAGCATCTGATTAATAGGCAAGATCTTAACTAGTTTAAAGGGTCAGAAAAGGCATCTTAGAGAAAGTGATGTTTAAACGAAGCCTCTAACTAGCAGATCTTAGTTAAATGAAGTGAGCTGGTCATGGAAATCCAAAGTGATATATTGGGGGTGAGGGTAGGAGGCAGAGAGCATTAAGGGGATGAAATACGAGAGAAGACAGGTGGAGGGACTTTCACTTAAGGTGATGACTGAGGAAAACAATTAAGAGTGGATGATCCTGAGAGTCTTCAGGAGGATGGGGGCCCTTGGTTCTCCTGGAATTCCTCCTTCTCCCTAGCAGAGAGGCTATCTAGAGCCAGTTGTTTCTTATCCTTGAGGCCCACAGAAGTGGGTAGTGGTGTCACCGCTTTGGTTCATGTGGGCTGTGGCCTTAGGGAAGATTATAGTCCGAGAAAACTGGTAAGCAGGGGTTGGGGGCAGCTGTGGTCCTGGCATCAGCTCATATGATGTGAGCACCAGGAGTTGGAGCTCCTCAGTTTATGTTACTGGTGCTGATTCAAGGGTCTGGGGGGAAGACCTAGCAACTGAGGTAGGTAAAGTCCTCAAGTTATAAAAAATAGGTAAAGACCATGCCTACTACTTAGTAGCTTCTATAATACTTTGTTGTTGTTTTTTTGCTTTTTTTGTGGTCTGGGGATCCTAACCGTTCACCTTGGTATTTACTGATACCAAGGTATAACACTGCACTTATTTTTACACATTAATTGCACAATAAGTATTTGTTAAATAAATTTAAAAGTTCATCTTATCAAATCTAAGATACATTATGTACCCTCACTTATGTAACTTGGGAAGGTCTTATTTTATATTTATAAACTTACATATAAACTTCAGTGTAGTTTAACATGGTACCCTTATACCTCTAGTTCTTTTTTTTAAAATTTTTATTGAATCATGATTATATATATTTTGGGGGTTCAATGTTGATGTGTTGATCAAATCAATATTACTAGTATATATATTGTTACAAATTGTACTTATCTTTATGCCCCTTGTCCAATCTCTCCCCATCTCCCTCTCCCTCCCTCCTACACCTCTAATTACCCTAGATTTCTTCTCTCCTTCTGAAAGAATAATGGTTACTCTGTTGATTTGTTGCCTAGATGATCTGTCCAATGCTGAGAGGTGTGTTCAGTTCCCCCAATGTTATCATAGAGCAGATGCTTCTTCTGTCACTCTGGAATGGGCTTTATGGAGAGAGACATCCTCTTCTTTTTTTGGTCTCTTCTGGTGACTCTCTTGTGTCAATGAACTCCAGCGGCTGTCGGACCATCCACATGGTGGTTGTGGCATCTAACCACTTTTGCGGAAGCCGTGGTTACTGTGGTGGCTGTGGTGGACCACCTACATGGAGGTGATGTTTTTGGCATGCTCCTTGGCACTGGTAGTGTTCCTGGCTCGGGGCAGGGGGGTCTGGTCCCTGGCTCCATGCCTCAGGTCCCCAGGCGGGCCCCGAGGCATTGGCAGTGTGCCTGGTTGTTGGTGGGGGATCTGGTCCCCAGCTCCATACTTTGGGTCCCCTGATGGGCTCTGAGGCGCTG